TATTTGCATGCTATTAATAATGGCTGATTAAGTGGATGTTTAATTACTATGACCATGTTCAATGTACCTTAACCAAATGCAAATAAAATATTTCATTTCATTTCGTTTCAATAAACCAGGTTTTCAGGAAATTTTATAAATTAGAAATATGTTAAATTATAGCTGCAATTCTACAAAATTGTAAATGTTTCTCCATGACAATTTTATAAACTTTTATTTTTATTAAACAGAAATATATAGAGTATAGCTTACTACAATTTTAAAAAATTGTAAATTTTTCTCCATGGCAATTTTATAATTTTTTTTTTATTAAACTATGACTAACTTTAACTTGTAACTTCTATTAGATAGAGCAGGTAAAATTTGCAGTTAAGTAGTTAATTCCAAGTGTCAACAGACTGCAGTAATCATTTACTATCAGCCCGGCTAGCATGGGCGAAGGACAATTTTATCCCCGGGGAAAGGAGGAAATGTTTATCCCCTCGCTTAGTTTTATCCACCCTTAGAGCATAGGCACACACGTGGATATAATATCCACAGTAGATAAATTGGGAGATAGACTTAGACTTAGATAGATTTTTGTATGAATATAAACTTCAACCCACATCCAATGAACTAGGATAAAATTGTCCCTTTCAAATGTCAAAAAAGCATAATTTTTTATCTTTCATTTGGCTCCATGCTACGGACGGGAGATACGTGTCTACTCGTTATGTCAAACGGGGATATACTTCTCCCCGTTGCCGTGCTTCAGCATAGTATCAGCCAAACTACTTCAGTACACGTTAGTCCCAGTCCTAGTTGTCGAGTCTCAATATTTTTTCTGACATCCAAATGAATAAAAACTGTGGTGGCACTGTTGTCGCACCACAAGCGAAACGTACCGAAGCCTAAATCGCGCTATAAAAGTTCTGAAATTAAAGCGCTATGTATAAAAGAGCTCCGAAATATTATTATCCGAATTATTAATTGTTACGCCACACCGCCACAGCCAATCACAGCGCACCATTCAAGCCAGCCAATCCTAGCCAAGCCAAGCGGAAGCCACCACTCTAACCACCGGATGTCTCTGGTGTGGGGTAGTGCTATATAGTGTCTTACAAGCTCCATTTTGAGAAAGTGATCACACTACCGCTCGTAATAAAACGAAACTCTGCCGAGATTGTTATTCAAGTATAAAATAAAATTAGTGCGTTTAGTTCTACCGGTGCGTTAAGTGCCTTGAACCCCACAACACTAAAGAGTGTCCTCGGCCCAAAGACGCCGAATCCCCACCCGCGTGTGTCCTGTGTAAACAAACGGGCCACCCGGCTAACTACAGAGGCTGCCCTTGCGCACCTCATCCTCGCCCCAGTAGGCAAGCTCCACCGCCGGTCAATGACCGCTCATTCCCGGCTCTTTACCAACGGATGCCCCGTCAGGGCCTTTCTCAGCCCACCCAGGGCTTCTCTCGACCCTCTCAGGGTCCTCCTAGGCCCCCTCAGGGCACTATTCGGCCCCCTCCGGGCTTCTCTCAGCCTATGCAGCCTCCAGTTTTTCCCTGGGGCCCCAAAAAGGCAGTACCACCGCGGACATCCTCCGCCCCTCAACCACAACAATCACAGCCCTCAATGGCTGATGACCTAAAAACGGTGTATTCCGCAATTAGGAACATCAACGTTGAGGAAATCGCTGTGTTAGCACGCAAATTGCGCGCTGCGAGGTCCCCTCAGGACCGTCTCCTCGCTCTTGCAGAGCATCATAATCTTTTGTGCTCATTGTAAGTTAAGTTAACTTAATTAACTTAACTCACAATGACAGAGCAGTTTGCTCTACCGAAATCCCACGGTCGTATCAAACCTAAGGGTTTATCGCTTGTATCCTTTAACATTCGCGGTTTGCGAAATAACCTCCCAGAGCTTAAGCTCTTTCTTCAAAATCGTGAAACCGATTTCCTCCTCCTACAGGAAACTAATCTCAATACTAAGGACACTAAAGGCCTTTCCATCAAAAACTTCTCTCTTCTTCGTAATGATAGACCCGACCGCCGAGGCGGCGGTACGGCCATTTATTACAAGAAGACACTCCACTGTTCTCCCATTTCTACTCCGCAACTTTCCAACATGGAAGCCACGGTATGCAGGCTAGCTATGACTGGACATCAGTCCATCTTCATAGCCTCCTGTTACATCCCTTCTAAAACCCTTCCCCTCAAAAAAGATTTTGAGGCTATTTTATCTCTAGGCAATTCAGTCATTATGTTTGGAGATTTTAACTCCAAGCATACTGAATGGACATGCCGTACTACCACCCGTAGTGACAAGTTACTGCTCGATATCACGCAGTCTCTTGATATTACCGTCCACAGTCCTCTCGGTGGTACTCACTTTCCCGATAACACCGACTATGCCCCCGATGTACTAGATTTTGCGTTACTCAAAGGAGTTTCTCTCAACCTTAGGGCAATCGAGACACTAGACGATCTAGGATCCGACCACCGACCGGTCTCTCTCATTCTTGGCCATCAGCCACCACTCCCAACACCCTCTACTAAAACCTTCACAAATTGGAAGGGCTTCAAGGAGTCCCTAGCGAAAGCTCTGGACTCACAGGACTCCCCCATCTCCCTATCTTCGGACTTAGACAGTCCTGAAAAAATCGACACCGCGGTCGATTCACTCTCCACCCTTATTAAAACCTCCCTTAAGGAGAATGAAAGGGTCGTCCCGGTTGCTAATAATAGTGGGCTTCCCCTGCATATTAGCAACCTATTAAAAGCCAAAAAAGCTGCTTTCCGGAGAGCAGCAAAATATCCCACGCCCGAATATAGGCGCACGGCCAATCGTCTTCAACGAGAACTCCGTTTCCGCCTCTCTGAATTTCGAGACCTCGAAAAGAGTAAGCTCATGGAGAATATCTCTCCCTCTCATACAGCGTACTATCAGATGGCAAGAGCCCTCCGCATAGACGCTATCTTCCACACTCCCCCTCTCTCCCGTCCCGACGGTACGGTAGCCTTCGAGGACGAGGAAAAGGCTGAGTGCTTTGCAGACAGCATTGCCGCTCAATGCTCTCCTAGCTCTCAACCCGTAGACCCCTCACACGTCCAGGCAGTGGAGGATGAGGTCCGCCGCCGGAACTCGCCCCCTACAGCCTCCGAACCTATCTCTGTGTCCAATGATGAGCTTTCATCCCTCATCAAAGGACTTAAGCCTAAAAAGGCTCCGGGCGCGGATGGCATCTCCAACCAAGCCCTAAAAAACTTTCCTGAGCAGGTGCTAACCCTTTTATCTATTATCTTCAATGCCTGCTTCAACCTTAGTTACTTTCCCACTACGTGGAAAGAGGCAACTGTGATTGGTATTCCCAAGCCAGGCAAGCCTCTTAATCTCCCCTCCAGTCATCGTCCCATTAGCCTCCTCAAGGCCATGGGCAAGCTCTTTGAAAGAGTCATTCAAAATCGCATGAGGCGCCATCTGTTTCCCACAGACGGTGACCCTCTTATCATTCCCCATCAATTCGGTTTCCGAGCGAAACACTCCTGCCCCCAACAAGTTCACCGTATTGTGGAATATATCCTCAGCGGTTTTTATCCCCGTCGTCATAAGACTATCGCGGTCTTTTTCGACATCGCCAAAGCCTTCGATAGAGTCTGGCATACAGGCCTTATCTACAAACTATACAAAATAGGTCTCCCCGATCGTCTAGTACGTCTCGTGGCCTCTTATCTTAATCATCGTACCTTTCGTTTTAGACACGAAGGCACGCTATCTTCACAGCGCCCCATCAAAGCTGGTGTCCCTCAGGGCTCAGTTCTTGCTCCTCTGCTGTACATACTGTTCACCAACGACATTCCCATTCCGCCGAAAGGTGTTCAGCTCTCCCTCTTCGCAGACGACACTGCTCTCTACTGCAAAGGTATCTCGCTACCTTTCATACGGAACAAGGTCCAAAAGTCTGTTGATGACCTAGGAGCTTGGTTCAAAAAATGGCGCATCGATGTGAACCCGGAGAAGAGCTCCGCCGTTCACTTCGATTATAAACGACGCCGTCTCAAAAACACTCCACCAATACGTATGCTAGGGACCCCTGTCCCCTGGCATACGTCTGCCAAATATTTAGGTGTCACTCTAGACACAGGGCTAACTTTCAGGCCCCACGTCAAAAGAGTAACCCGTCACGCACGTTTTTACCTGAATAGGCTCAACAGTATGTTGGGCCGACACAGTAAAATGTCCCTCAGAAACAAGCGTACCCTTTATAAGGTCTGTATACGACCAGTCATGTCCTACGCGGGCCCCATTTTCGCCCACTCTAACCCTAAAATTATTAATGAACTCCAAGTAGTTCAAAACCTTTTCTGTCGTCGAGCTGCGAACGCACCTTGGTACGTCCGCAATGCCGACCTTCATCGGGACCTAGAGCTCCCTACAATTCAACAATTCCTTAAAAAACTCTCTGAGAACTTCTTCAAAGCCTCAGAGTCGCATTCCAATCATTTTATTCATGAGGCTGCTAATTATGCAGCCCCACTCCCCTCCCGCCATAGCGTCCGCAGGCCGAGGAACTCCCTCTCGGACCCGCCTAATAAACTTTCAAACGACCTGAACTGCCTCCTGGCGGCTCAGGCCAACTCTAATTAAGTTATTCATAATTAATTTGCCTTCGTAGGCACTCCCTCAGCGGCTAATAGCCGCCTGCGCCCTCTTTTCCCAAAAGAGGGTCGCTTCCGATACGGCATAAGAAGCTTTAAACAGCTAGTTGCCAGTCCCCAAAGGCGGTTTTAGTGGGTATCACTTAGGTTCCCCAGTAGGTAGTCACAGTGAGTCCCACATAACCACGATAGACCGGCAGTCGTGGTATGTGTAATGCATTTCCGCCTCCCTCCGGGGTAGCCCTTTTCCATTTGCTTCGGGCGCAAAAAAAAAAAAAATTTAGTTCTACCTTCTTTTATTTGTACTGACTGTTACATCTCAGAAGTGGGATCAAAAGTGAAAACTATGAAGCGTCATCGCGTCGGAATGCCAAGAAAAGGCAATAAAGTCCGCCCTCAAGAGTCGAGCGAATCACCATGTAAAGATTCATCTGAAAAAAGCGACACTGAAGACGAGGTCACACCACCAGACACTCCTCCGGCCCGGAAAATCCTTAGAAGACTATTGGAAACCGAAGTACAAAAGGCAATGCAAGAGCTAGACGAAGAATTACCCTCCGTAACGACAAGAAAAGAACACCGTGCAGCCTCACTTATTCCAGAATTCGACCCCGATAATGAAGAATGTAGTACCGCAACAGCGTGGCTCAAGAAAATAGATCAACTAGGCGAAATTCATGGCTGGAGTGAAACTACAAAGTCGTTTTACTTACAGCATAGACTAAGAGGTCAAGCCAGACGATGGTACAATCGGCTTGATGACTACGATTATTCCTGGCAAGAATGGAAGCAGATGCTGACGCGTGCTTTTCCCAAACATCGCGATTTCGGGAACATGTTAGAAGAGATGATGAGCCGAAAGAAACTACCAACGGAATCGATGACGAAATACTACCAAGACAAAGTGGCCATGTGCTTCCGGTGTAAGTTGTCTGACAGCGCAACAGTCTCCTGCATCATTCGTGGTCTACCATCATCACTTCAAGCGAATGCGAGAGCATATCAGTGCGAGCATCCCGAAGAATTATATGAAGGCTTTCTCTGTGCGCTGGATGATTATCAACCGCTGTCAACGTCAATTAGAACACGTGTGCAAAGTAAAGATGCTTACGATCGACAGGTAATTGATAAAAAATACACGCCTATTAACCCTGACATTGACCCGTGTCCGCGCTGTAAGAAGACCGGCCACATATTACGTAACTGCCCGTATCCAGATTCACGAACATGCTTCAAATGTGGCAAGCAAGGCCACATTGCTACGCGCTGCGGAATCACTCCGAAACCTGCGCTACTGGCTGATGATAAAGTTAAAGAAATTAAACTTTTACAAAATCACAACAAGATTTACGAAAAAGCGGTAAAGATCAATGGCGTTCACGTTAAATCTTATATTGATACCGGCAGCCAAGTAAATGTATTATCTACCCACGTGTCGAGACTATTGGATCTCAAAATCAACCCGACCAGCACTATCCTAAAGGGATTCTCTGGAGAACATCTACCCAGCTGCGGAGAGGTAGGTTTTAAACTAGAAATCGATGGTATACATATCCCGTGCAAGGCTCATTTAACAGACGTGGATATGGGGAACATCCATCTTTTGGTTGGACAGCCCATCATCAACAGCGACGGAATGGTCTTAGAGGTCAGGGAAGGAAAAGCCACTCTCAAACAAGATATCGACTTTACAAGGCAAATGGATGTGATTGAAGAGCGCGCTCGCTTTAAGGTCGTCACTACAGAGAAAGAGCGTCTATTGCCTGGACTTTCCATCATCAAGGTCAACGTGATAGATAATGACGAAGATAACGATGTCGTCACTACGCCGCAACATTATGAGCTACGAGGTGTTTCGTACTCAATTCCTGCCACTCTGCTACGAGGCACCGTCGGGTACATCAAAGTCATCAACAATGGAGCTCAAAACATCATCTGGAAGCAAGGCGAGGTGCTGACCAGAGCAGATAGCTGCGTCACCGCACCGCAACCAGAAGTTCAGGTTAGCCCTAAAAATTACACTTTGCCATCGACTTCCGTAGCCAAAACCAATAATGATTATTATAGCAACTCTATAGCATCTCTGTTGCATACTAGCCTAGCAAATGTTAGCACTATTGGGGGAATAAACATAGAAGATATTAAGTCGGGTCCATTAAATAAAAATGATCATGATAGTTTAATTACTTTATTGACTAATTACAGTGACTGTTTTGCGAATAAAACACAAGACTTGGGATGTACAGATTTATTAAAAATGAAAATAAAATTGACAACTGAACAACTATGAAGTGTTAGCGTTTTTAGATGATTTGTTGTTGCCATCTTTCGATGTGCAGTCGGGCTTAGATATTTTAGAGAAGGTACTTCATAAATTAAGATTAGAAAATTTAAAACTAAACATGAGTAAGTGTTCCTTTTTACAAAATAAAATCACGTACTTAGGACATGAAATTACACCGAGTGGCATTCAACCGGGTGAATCTAAGTTGGCAGCAGTGTCACAGTTTCCCACTCCTAGTAACGTTCACGAGATACGTCAATTTATTGGGTTATGTAGTTATTTTCGTAAATTTATTAAAAATTTCGCAATAATTGCCCGCCCATTGACCGATTTAACAAAGAAAAACGCGGCTTGGAATTGGGGCCGTGAACAATCTAATAGTTTTGAACAATTAAAACAGTGTTTGTGTACAAAACCCATACTAGCTTTATACGACCCCGCATTACCGACGGAGATTCACACGGATGCATGCAAATCAGGTATCGCAGGCATTTTGTTGCAAAAACAAACTGATAATTCATTACGCCCCGTTATGTATTTCAGTAGAGTAACGAGTAAGGAAGAAAGCATGTATCATAGCTACGAGCTCGAAACTCTCGCGGTAGTCGAATCGTTGCGTAGATTTAGGGTGTACATCATAGGCAAACATGTTAAGATCGTGACTGACTGTACGGCTGTTCGTGCCACCTTAACTAAACGTGACATTATCCCGCGTATAGCCAGGTGGTGGCTGTCAATCCAAGATTTTGATATGACTGTAGTATATAGACCCGGAGAGAGAATGAAACATGTAGACGCGTTAAGTAGGAACCCAATCGATACTGTGAATGTGAATCGCCTTGAAGTGTCGGACTGGTTTTATACCGTCCAGTATCAGGATGACAAGTTGAAGCGAATCATTGATCAGCTTTGGGATGGCTCAGCCGCCACTGAAATATCCAATAGTTATGTATTCTCAGATGATAGATTGTATAAAAAGACATTGCATGGTAATCGTCTCGTAGTGCCAGCATTAGCTCGATGGAGGCTAGTCCAAATGCACCATGATGACATAGGACATGTGGGTTTCCAAAAGTGTATAGACTTAATAAAAAAGACTACTGGTTTCCAAAAATGACTCGCTTTATTCGAAAGTATGTTACTGCTTGCCTTCATTGTGCTTATGGTAAGAGTGGTTATGGTAAAAAGGAAGGAAAATTGTTCCCTATTCCCAAACCCACAGAGCCCATGATCATGATTCATGTCGACCACTTGGGCCCCTTTTGCAAGACAGCTAAAGGCTATCAGTATATGCTGGTTATAACAGATTCCTTTTCTAAATTTGTTATTGCTGAGCCAACTCGAACAGTCAATTCGGTGGAAACCATTAGAACACTCAGAAAAATATTCAGCTTATTCGGATACCCCGATAAACTTGTAAGTGACCACGGGAAGGCTTTTACCAGTAGATACTTCAAAAAGTTCTCATCTGATAAACAGTTTAGGCATATCTTAACCTCCGTCGCATGCCCGCGAGCGAATGGTCAAGTGGAACGCACTAACCGTACCATATTGAATGCCTTGCGTGCCACAGATGCTAGCGAGGCTGCAAATAACTGGGCGAACAGCTTACCTGATATTCTATGGGGTATTAATAATACCGCGAATGAAAGTACAACCTACAGACCTTATGATTTGATGTTTTCCAAAAGCTCCAGGCCACGTTGTAACATCTTTGGCAATGGAAGTGTTAGTGAGCCAGTGGACGTTAGGCGTAACAAAGCTAGTAAACAGATAAAACTAGCGAGTGATAGGATGAAACGTAACTTTGACAAGAAACGCAAAACAAGCCGTGTCTATAAAAAGGGGGATTTAGTTCTTTGGCGGCAAGCACCAACAAGCAGTACGTCGAAGGTAAACACTAAACTTGACGACGTCTTCTCGGGTCCATATATCGTAATCAAGGTGTTGGGTAATGACAGATATAGGATCAGAAGTATTAAGGGACTCCGAGGCTACAGGGCCTTCACAGGCCTTGTTGCAGCGGACTCCTTGAGGCCCTATCACAGTACGGTTCCCATATCTGGCAGTTCTGATGAACAAATGGAAACCGAAGACCTTATTGACCTGCTAGAAAGTTAATCAAGCTTTCTCCCATTGCGGGAGCAATTGTTGTTTCAGGACGGCCGAATGTTACGCCACACCGCCACAGCCAATCACAGCGCACCATTCAAGCCAGCCAATCCTAGCCAAGCCAAGCGGAAGCCACCACTCTAACCACCGGATGTCTCTGGTGTGGGGTAGTGCTATATAGTGTCTTACAAGCTCCATTTTGAGAAAGTGATCACACTACCGCTCGTAATAAAACGAAACTCTGCCGAGATTGTTATTCAAGTATAAAATAAAATTAGTGCGTTTAGTTCTACCTTCTTTTATTTGTACTGACTGTTACATAATATATTTTTATCTTTCATTTGGCTCCATGCTACGGACGGGGGATATATATCTACTCGTAATGTCAAACGGGGATATACTTCTCCCCGTTTGACATAACAAGATAATTTTATCTCTTGTCAGTGGATATAATCGGGAAATAAAAATTTTATCCCCCGCCCATGCTAGCCGGGCAGATAGACTATAAGTTAGCCTAATACCTTTAATTTATAATCAAGTATATATAATAAAGTAATATAAATCATAATTTATAATTTATAATCAATCAATTTTAATTTAATTTAAAAAATTTAAAATTAAAAATTTTGTACAGCCGACTTCAATATAAGTTATTTAAGAATAACTTAAAAACTATTGGTCTGACCTTGATCAAATTCATATGGGACCACACGAGAAGTACCAGCTTTCAAATAAAAAAAGAATCATCGAAATCGGTTCACCCAGAAAAAAGTTCTGAGGTAACACACATAAAAAAAAAACGAAAAAAAAAAAAACATACAGTCGAATTGAGTACCGGCTCCTTTTTGGAAGTCGGCAGAAAACTAAAGACCTATGATAATAAAACCTACGCTACAAACACGAAACGAAACTAAACAGATTCGAAACACAGAATAAATTCCATTATATCCGTATAATGTGTCCGATAATTCCTAGTATAAAAACGCATAAAAATGTGATCATTTTGTATGAATCCTATAACCAACAAATAATCTGCCTTATTTTTGGTTTCGATAATTCATTTAATCAAGGATTCAAAGCTATGAAGTTAAAAAACACAGATACACGTATTCATGAATTATCGTGTTATCCAAAAATTCAATAACTTGTGGAATACGTAAAAATAGATCATGTATTCTATCAATGTTTGTATAGGAATTCTTTATAGAATAAGGGTGACAAACGAGCACACAGTACACCTGATGGTAAGTGAATGTTGTGACCCATATACTCAGTTAAGAATCAAAATGCGCAGATGCGTTTACAGTAAAATGGATCTATGGTTCTCTACACTCACCAGACCGACCCATTCATACTACAATCATAATATAACTGCAGCGTGGCTCTATGACGTGAACTTACAGTTCAGTTCACGTGATAAAGCCACGCTTATGGATTAAGATGACCTTACAGCCTCTAGTTATACTGACTCTCTAAATCTTTAAGACTAAAACACAGGATACACGAGTATACGGATGCGTTCTGGTATTTGGAGGTAGAAATAGGTAAGAGAATAGTGTTTACACCATGAAGCTAATACAAAGGGGAGACGGCATAAGCAACTGTGCACTGTGATTCTAAGTAGGTCCTGACGTCATCATAGTGGGCGTGGCTTTAGTTAGTATACTGTCAGCATTAGTCCTGTGCGCTTATGTGTTGAAAAAATCGCAAATCGGTGTATTTTCGTAGTATTAAGAAGAAAAGGATGAAGAGTTGTGTTTTATTGTGTAAAAACTACTCAGATAGACGCTCTGATGTTATGGATGGCATCACATTTCATATGTAAATATTTTTACACCTAATTTATTAAAATAGTTCTAGAAAAATCTCTTTGCGTCGGCTTTCAAATATAATTAAATATATTCGACACTAGATGGCGACACTTTGTGTCATGTGAACTAAAAATGTAAAGGTAGAGCTCAGTATTGGTAAAATAATCATACGAATGTGCTGAAATTTGTTTTGCATTCAGACATAAAGAAATTTTAATCGCAAAATATCATTTTTATAGTTTATAATCATTTTGAGAACAGGCCGTATTCTCGTCAAGTAAACCTCGTAAAAATGACAAAAAGAGAGGGCCCTAATTAGAATTCAATTATTTTTCCCAGTAATCCAACTTTTAATATTAAATGCAGGAAATTGTACTTAGGCTGATTTTTACGAAATGTTTAAGTTATATTTAAGTGCCATTCTATATGCAAAGAATCACTTAAATACAATTTAATGTTCTTTGTAATATTTGTAAATAAAATTATATTAATTATAATAATTTGTCTATTATTTGTTCTCCCTCAGAGATATTAAGTAGTATAACCCACACATAAATAATAATCCAGCCGTTTCTGCGTGAAGAAATTACACATACTTAGTATGGAATAAGCTCGAGGAGACAGAAAGAGCACACAAAATTTCGCCTTTATAATATTAGTGAGATAAGTAGGATATTTAGTTCCAAATTAAATATCCTACTTAATATTGAACATAGAATATTTAGTTTCAAAGAGACTTTATTTTATGGATAAAATAAATATTTCTTGGTTGACTTTCACGAAATGATAAACATATTTAAATTGTATTTAAGTGATTCTTTGCATATAGAATGTCACTTAAATATAACTTAAACATTTCGTAAAAATCAGCCAAGTACAATTTCCTTCATTTTAATATTGAATGTTGGGTTACTGGGTAAAATAATTGAATTCTAATGGCGGCCCTGTCTTTTTGTTATTTTTTATGAGGTTTACTTGACGATAGATGGCGGCCTGTTCCCAAGATTATTATGAAAACTACGAAAATATTATATTGGCGATTAAAATTTCTTTGTCTAAATGTATTTGCTCCATGAGATAGACGCTCCGATGCTATTGATGGCATCACATTTCATTTGTAAGTAATTTTACACCTAATTTATTAAAATAGTTCTAGAAAAATCTCTTTGCGTCGGCTTTCAGATATAATTAAATATATTCCACACTAGATGACGACACTTTGTGTCCTGTGAACTAAAAATATAAAGGTACGTAGAGCTCAGTAATGATAAAATAATCATACGAAGGTGCTGAAATTTCTTTGCATTCAGACATAAAGAAATTTTAATCGCCAAAGTGTTATTTTTAAAGTTTATAACATTTTGTGGACATGCCGCCATCTACCGTCAAGGTAGCTAAGCTACATTACAACATCGATATGAAAAGATTCGAGTAGTTTTACTATTTATCGGTAGATGTAGATAGTGTAGTGGGCGGGGCATTGCATCCCCTCACCCCGCAAATTGTCACGCGTTGTTACATAGTGAAATTTAATTACAACGTCTCCTCTTTGTATTTGCTTCATGGTTTACACATACCGACTCGCAGGCAGAAAAAGACCACACCGAGCATTGTCATTGTCATCAATATTTCACAACACAAGTCCATTACTGAACCTAATCCCGGCAGTCTGCTAGGAAAGGCGTACGTCACTGCAAGTTAAGGCGATGTCTCTGAATTGTTCTGCCGACTTCAAAAAGGAGACGATACTCAATTCAGCTGTATGTTTTTTTTATAGGATAAGGGTGACAAACGAGCATACAGTCCACCTGATGGTAAGTGGTTGCTGCGGCCCATAGACATCTACATCTATCCTCGTTTGCGAATCAAAATGCAGATGCGACCCGTGAGGACTAAGATGGAATACCTCATTTCCAGTAAAAAGGGCCTCCGGCCAGGTGGCAGGTGCAGGTGCACTCACCAAGCGAAACGCATAGGTAAGCCTCTACTTCACGCTGGTATTCTGTGAGGTCTTGGTACCACCCCGGTTCGAGCCGGCCCATCCGTGCGACAGCAAAAGCTGCCGCGTGGCTCTACCACTGTTTTTTGTGTGTGTTGCCCCATAACTTTTTACTGGGTGAATCGATTTCGATGATTCTTTTTTTATTTGAAAGCTGATACTTCACACGTAGTTCCATATGAATTTGATCAAGGT